CTCTTTTTATATTTATATTGATTACTTTGTTCTACATAAATTAAATTGTTTAACAGGTCAATCAACAACCCTCCAACTACCATAAAATCYAAAAGTTAAGTACCTTTTACAATTTAACTTTTCTAACAGACTTATAATTTTTAATCACTTAATTATTTAAAATACTTGATGATGTGTCTTATAAATAACAAAATAAATAAAAAATGATAATAATGTAAAATTCATACACAATATAAAAGTTATACATTTTAAAAATGATTTTTATTTTTATTATATTTAAACAAGTATAAAATAAACAAATTAATTAATATAATATTTAATTGACAAATTAGTGTTATAAAATTAAACTTGTGTCATAAAAGATACCCTAATATTTATTAAACTCTGATATTGCTACTTTTTTACTTATCAAAAGGTAATTTAAATGACAACAAATGATTCACGTATAAGGTAACTTGGCTTTCTGGTCCACAAGTGTGTACAAACTAAGCACTGATGATATCATGCCAACTACACCTATTGTACCTGGACTTAACCTAATAAATCCTAAGTTTGACAATGGTAACATTATATCACAGCTATTTTTTACGGTATCAATTAACAAGTCTTTATGAGAACGAACAAATTGGACTGCTTCACCAGTAAATATGTCTTTAGGAGTTACTTTTCTATTCAGAGTGTTTAAAATTTTTTTTTCCAGGATTGCTTTTAGTATATTGTTCAACTCCACAAAATCTCTGACAAGATTCATTATTATAGATAAGAGCCAATACCGATTGCTTGTTTGACCCCATTTTGGGGCATTTATTTGTAAAAAGTTATTTCTATTYAACCATAAGCAATGGTCACAAAACAGATACAAAGAATGAGCTATCTTTGAAAACGTCACACAATATCTAATAGTTTTATCTGAATGGTTAATAGTCCGCAATGCAGTATGCAAGGAATCAATAAAGCGGCCAAATCTTAACACTGTAAAAAAAAAAAATATATGTTAAGTTTTAAACATAGGTAACAATTRTAAATGTATTGATTTGGATACTTTTTTTATTCTTAAATTTATTTATTTATTGTTAGTAAGTATTTATAATAATTAGAGCGAGGATTTGTATGCATTTGCATATTTATTCTGGTTGATCGCATGATATGCTAAGTGAGCACAAAATTTTTTTCATGATATAACGATTTAAAAAATGAAACTTTATTAGTACATATTTTTGGATATTTTGTCATTTTTCTATTTTAAGGGCTTATTTTACAATTTTAATTGCATATTTCTTCTTTTTTSGGGCATATTTCGATGTTTTCTAAATTTATACTATTTTCAATTATAATATAAGAAAACAAAATTATATTTTTATAGTTTCAATTAATATCAAAATATCAAAATATAGGTAAGTACATTTATTTTAGGAGACATTTTTGATATAAATTGATTCCTTTTTTTATATATAGATTAAAGCTACCTGAAAATAGTGAAAGTGGAAAAAATAAAAAAAAGTGTTTTTAGTATTGTTCCATAATTTTTTTTTATAATATATTGTAATGAATTTTTTTAAGCATATTTTTTTTACTTTCCATGCATATTTTAACATTTTAATGCATATTTAAGATTTTTTAGCCCATATTTGATTGATTTTTAATGCATATAAATCCGCGCTCTAATAATAATTAACACACAGTCATACAATAACGTTTATAGAACACAAGATGCCATGTGTAGATTGTTTAAGATAAGTTGCATTTATCACATTTGATTATTTTAATTTGTAATAATAACTACAATTATTAATCCAAATCTAAATACAACGTGTTGATACTACATAATATTATGTAGTAACAATGTATCTTATACAAAATTAATGATATTACATTGCAAAAAAAAATAATCAAGTATAAAATATACCTTTACGAAAAGCTGCCAAGGATTGTTCAAGTTGTTTGAACTTTTTAATTGATTTGACGTCAAAGTCATGTTTTTCCATGTAATGCCATGTTGTTTTTGAACCATATTGTACAAACCTGAAAAAAAAAACCATTAGTATCCATTTCAAATATTGTACACTAAAACATTGATCATTACAAAATCATAGAATTACCACAGCACTCATCATCACCAATTATAATACAATATGATATAATAATTACCAATATAAAAATTGGTGTTTGTTACCAGTACAATTAATAATAGTATCTTACATTTTTAACATTTTAACACTAATGTTATAATCCATGAGTAGCAAGTTTTGATAAATTCAAAACTATAATTTATGTGTGAGTGACCATAGTTATGGGAGTTTTCTAGTAAATAATATAACATTAAAATCACTTAATACATGTTGGAGTAATAATATTCATTACGCCCGTAACCGAGGTTTGAACAGGTGACGTGTGTGTTGCAGTCGACACCTTAGAACGCTCGGCCACTCTGTCCMYCATATTCACTATACTACTATAGTACCAAGTGGGCAGTTCTAGTACTGAAATTTGACATGGTATATAATATTATCACTTATCTGTTAACTATTTATGAATTTAAAATCTAACAAACAAACAAAATTGCTAGTAATATTGTGTGCACCTCTTACCATAGAGAAGAAAATATTGCATTTTTAAAGTAAGCAGTATTTAATAATAGCTAATAACTATAAATAGGAACATCCTTTAAAAATATATAACCACATATTCAACTAATTAATAATAATTATACAAATAGGTTGTCGGAGAGTACAATTTTTTTATTTTTCYAACCTAAGTAGAACATGGTAAATTTGCAATCAGCAGAATCAACCATGATTTGTTAGCTCGTTGGTTTTTTTACAATATTTCAATTTTAAAGATATTAACATTTTTAAATCACAAAATTTTGMATAAGAAATTAAGATTTGCATAAACATTGAAACATCATAAAAACCCAATGCAAAAACACAGGTAATGTTCTAAAAATTAAATTTGAAAATAGGTTAAGTATCTCTAATATTTAAGCTAACCACATAAGGCTAAACAAAACTTTGCCATGTTGTGTGATGGTCAGGGAGAAAAGCCATTAGAGCGGTGACATCATTGAAAGAGTTGAAAAAAAAGAGTGCTGGGTATGCAATCAAACAAATATAAACGAATAGTTTAACTTTTTACAAAAACCGTTTTCTAGGTCATTTTTCGTCGTCCCTTGTACACTCTCTTTTTCGGAGGCTGTTCCGACATGTTTTAATAATGCTGAAAAGTGACAAGTGACGACTGATGGTGGTAATCATTATAATAACTAAACCTATTCGAAAAGTACCTCGCTACTCTGTCACGGCCGGCGGTTTTGTTATTCAGATCGACGACGAAGTTCATGTTTYGCCCGTAGGTAGACGCACCGGRCTGGCAACTGACAAGTGTCAAGTGAAAATAATTATCGATCGTCTGGGTCGCAAACGGATGTTTAAATGTTTGATTCGACAGAAAACGTTTTCCGATCAGGCAACGATCCGGCGAACRAGAGCGGAGAAATCGGACGTTAAAAACGATAAATTGCACGCGACCGTTTCCAGGTAGAGCCTTCAACGCGCGTCCGGCGTTTTCCTACGAATTTACATTCATATTCTGCAGCGATTCGTATGGTGGTCGTCATTCTACGGCCGTCATTTTTATATTGTTTATTAATATTCATTTATTCCAATTATTCCTCTTTTCGGAAACGGCGGGGTTTTACGCGACTGCCTATTATAATAAAATTATACGAGTTTATTCCGTGATATAGATAACGGCTTATCACACCACGACGCGTTGTTTACGTCTTTTCGTACTTTCTTATCGGAAYTGTTGCTCTCTCCCGCCCCTCCACTCAAGTCACTAWGTAAGACAGTAACACTATACAATAAAATAGTAGAACAAGGTGGCAGAGTGTATTTATATTTTACACTATTCATAATAATAATATACACCTTGGCGATTGCTGACTATTATTATCATTATACATAAATATAATAATATCATAGTACATTTCGACTATTACTATTATTACTATTATTACGTTATTCTGCCATTCTGGCCGCTGCGATAAAGTTGAGCAACAGGTTGTTGTTTTTTTTTCTTTTCTGCGTGTCTTGCGTTTTGAGTTGCAAGTTGTGTTCTCATTTCTTTATCCGAATCGCATGACGATGAACGTAAACAATAATCATCGTCGTTGAAAACGAATGCTATGAGTTTCTCCAGTCAGATATTTCGTTCGCCGGAGTACACGAGCTTCAGGTGCAACGTGCCTCTCAAGCAGATCATATTGGACGATACCGGCACGAATAAGGTTTTGACTTTTTAAATTTTTTACAATTCATGCTACCACTATACATTTAGTGATTGCTTTTCACTGGTGTGTTTTGTCGTACGTCACTCGCATCTTTATATGACTATAATATACAGTAAACCCTCCCCTAACCGATGAAATCTCGGCGACTAGCAAAATCTTGGTATTTAGATGTTTCAATGTAACATAATAAAAGCTAGGCACAGGCCAATATATAATGTTACAAGTTGCAAACAATAATGTTGATAAGTGCTTACAAGTTGTAAGTTATAATTTGTTGTCTACAATATTATTATTTGAAATCCAACCATTGCAGGGATGGAGAGTGTACGATACGGGTCCTCGTTCAGTCGAGACCCCATTGGTGTTCTTGCATCCAGTGAGTGGACGAGCCGAAGTTTTTTTCAAACAGTTACTAACGCTCAGTTCTAAAGGCTATCGAGTCATATCAGTATGTGACGTTAATGAGTTTATAACAAATATTAACCGGTTAAAAATTCTTTAATGGCTAATTATTTATTTTTCAGGCTGAAAATCCTCCTTATTGGAGTGTTACTGAATGGTGTGAGGGATTCATGCAACTGTTGGATCATATGGATATTAAACAAGTGCATTTATTTGGTGCTTCATTAGGTAATTAAATAGTTATAATCTTAAAAATAATAGCACATACCTACTTTAATTGTTTCTTATATGTGTATAATGTTAGGTTAATGTTTGATTAAATTATTATTATTATTTTTAATAAATCTTTAATACCTATAATTTCAATAATTGAAAATTATATTTGAATATATGACCTTAAGACTTAACGCCTTTGTTTGTACTAAATAGTAACCATTATAGTAATTGAAAAAATATGTGCAATTTTACCGTAATACAAATGACGCCATGAGAAAACAATAGTTAACTGTAGATGATAACTTTTAAAACAACTAAAACAATTAAAAATTTAATTTATGTATAATATGTGAAAATACTCCATACAAAATTATTTTCTCATCTTATTTAATTTGTTACAACCAATGCAGCTTGTAATTTGTTGATGTAGCATAATTATACTATGTCCAGTGTCGATACAATAAGTATACATTATTCATAAATGCATAATACAGCATAAATTTCAGAAGTGTTGCCATTAATGAATTATCAAAATGTATGTTTTTAAATGCATACAAAGCAAATGCATGATATGTACACCATTTTTTTTAGTTCACAAATAATATTTGTATAAATTAGAGATATTATTTAAAAGAGTAGATAATAGTGAGATACATCACTTAATTCAAAGATGCTATAAACTAACCTCCCAAAAATAACTTTATACAATGATGTRAAATACAATTTATTATAATTATAATGATTTTTAAAACGCGCTTTTATTGCAATAGTATAATGTGCCATATTATCGACTAGATGTTTTGAATATGAAATTAGGTTTGTGTTATGCTTGTCACCCGCTACTTTTCTAAAAAAATCTGAAAAGACCCCTAGTATGAATTAATATCTTAAACTACTTTACAATACATGAAAATAATTTATCTTTAGTTTTTGAATTACTACTAATCAACTTTATTTACAATTTCATTTCAAATAATTTAATTAAAATAATATTTATAAGATTAAACACTTTATTTAAGATACGCTCTATCAAAATCATCAAATTATTATTCACAATTTGATTGGGTTCAATATATATTTAGTATAAAATAAAATAAATTAAAATGTTTTTAATGTTTATTTCAACAAAAACAAAAATACAATTATTTATATTAAACTTTGATAGTAATTGTTATAATATAATTGAATTATACTTAGTATAATTTCAAATATCTATTGAATATATTTAAAGCATCACAATAAATTATTCCTTACTTAATTCATGTCTTAATATTAGTACAGAATGTCATTAAATATTAAAACTTATACAAATTAATTGTATATTATTGTTGTCTGTCATTCGTACGAAATTGCAAAATTTTTAAAAGAGTAGTAATATGAAATCAATCTTATGTTTTTATTTATTTAACAATTCTGAAATTATTATTTTAACCTCTCCCCCACAAAAAAAAAAAAAAAAAAAAAAAAGAATGATATACTTATATTTTAATAAAAATAATTGATTGTTTAACTTAATGAATAGCTTCATGATTAATATTTAATGTATGCATTTCTTACCTCAACCAGAATATAAGAAATTTCCTGGAGTCAATACTTTTTTTATGAGATTTCATTTTTCAACCATCAGTCTCCGTTTATTTGTCCAAACAAAAGTTACATCACAAATTATGAGTTTGTACACTATTGAACATAAAACAGTTACCAATTTTGTGCAGGTGGCTGGCTTTTATTATGTACATAACAGCAGCATAGATAAGCATTGAAACTGTTTGCTATTGTTAACAAGATTAAAAGATGCTAAAAGTAAAAATTAATACAAATAAACATGTAGAGATTTTATAGTTTGCCATTTAGATAAACTGTGTATTTTCAGTAATTTTATATTTTGCATAGGTGGATTTTTGGCTCAAAAGTTTGTAGAGTTTTCTACAATTGTACATCAACCTAGAGTTGTATCACTATTCTTATGCAACTCTTTTACTGATACATCAATATTCAAATATAAAGATGCTGCTGTTTTGTAAGTTTAATTTTGTCTTTATGTAAAATAACAATTATTAGTTATTATTTGTTTGTAAAAAATGATAACAAAATAAAGGTTTTTATTATTTATTACTTAAATGGTTAAATACTAGTATTATATCACCTTACAATTAGTTTTTTTTATAAACTACACTTCATTACTTTTGAAATTATTTCAGTTTTCCGTACAATTAGGTTTTAAAATGTTTATAATATTATTTTGTTTAAGCTCGCTATTATTTATTGTTGATAAGTGATTATATTTGAATTATATGTTTTCAAGGTTTTGGATTTTACCTGCAATAGTGCTCAGAAAAATGGTGTTATCAAATTTTTCATCTAGAGAAACATTTTACGATACGCGGATAATGGATTCAATAGATTTCATGGTCGAACTGGTAATTAACTTCTATCTATACAGGTTATATAACATAATTGTATTGTAAAATGTAATAACTATACTTTTTCCATTTAGATTGAATCATTATCACAGGCTGATCTAGCATCTCGTTTGACCATAAACTGTTTGAATAGCCGYGTTAATACATCATTGATGAGAGGTTTAAAAAGTGTCACCCTTATGGATGTATTTGATGACTATGCCTTAGGTTCGCCCATTAAGGAAAAAATTTACCAGGAATATCCGGATGCTAAACTGGCTCAACTCAAATCTGGTGGTAATTTTCCATACTTAAGTCGCAGTGATGAAGTTAATTTACACTTGCAGGTAAATATGCATTTCCAGTATTATTTCTGAGTCATACATAATATTATATTCTAATAAATTATACTTATTTCAGTTACATTTGAGAAAATATGATGGTACTCCTTATAGTGCAAGTGACAACATTCCTAATACAGAATAATTCAAATAGTGTATCACAAAAAAACTGCTCAATATTATTTATACATTATTACTGACCAATTTGCTGAACAAGTCTGTTGTGGAACAATTTGACCTATTTATAAATGCAAAGTATCAAAAATTTTGAATTTTATCTCAATTAGATATTTTTTTAAGTCAAAACCTGTTGAAGACTACTAAAATATGTACTACACTTWATAGAGTATTTAAATTAAATTGAAATGTGTGCTACCAAAAATCATATTTTATAGTTTTGGTGCTAACCACCTTTTAAATGATTAAATAATACTAAAATTAACCACAATGTCAATACATTGTATTGTTCAAAATTAATTCTTAAACAGCATTTTATATGTACATAATTTCTCTGCGTTGTATTGATTTAAAATACACAACTTAATGTTAGTTATATTTTTTATCGTACGCACTTAAATTTTTATTTTATGCAGGGTTAATATTTTTATTTTAAACTTTRTTTGATACTATAGTTTTTCGATTGTTTTTAATTTATATATAATATATTGTTATGATTGTTTTTTTTTTATTTATACCAATTGAATAATTTTACATACTCCAAGCATATGTGATGATACTTTATACTTCATATTTTTGCTATTTATATAATAATTTACTCTGAATACTGAATACAAATCTTGTATCATTCTTATTTTAATACAATATAGCCAATTTATTTTTAAATGTTTATTCTATGTGTTTATATTATTATTATTATTATTAATTTGGTTCCTTATTAGATAATTTTAAAAAATGTTATCAAAATAATCTATGCGTACAGTCTAAATATCGACAATGTATGAAAAATTAAAAATATATTTATGACATAAAATTATTTATATAAGGTACATTGTATTRCCTATGTTTAGTTCACAGGCGAAAATTGAAATTAATTTACAAACAAAAAATTGTTTTACTTACATTCAAGCAAAGGTAATAGTATTTAAAAATATTGGCATACATGTAAGGAATATCTATGTATATATACCATATTACCATTTATATTTGTCCTTCAGAAAATACTGAATACCGGTGTTGGGCACACCTAGTCACACCGAATAACCCCTTGAAATTCTTGTACAGCTTTGAAGGTGTTGGTATCCGTGCAACCATTCCCACAGGTCGTCGAAGTCTTGTTATACCCACAACAGGCTCCAATACACTGCGTTGAATAAAATGAACGATGCTGGGAACACAATTCGACTYTTCTCATCGATCCAAATCGAAATCTGTTGGGCAGTAGTCGTTAAGCCACCATGCAAATGACGTGCTGACTCTTCGGATACCTTGAATTTCACCTTGCCCATCGCTTTCATTTCCATTGTGTAGGGCAGTTCTGCGTTCAATTCTGTCGTACCCTAAACATATTTTACCGATAATTATTAAGTATAATATATAATTATATTAGGTGCCGCGCGCAGTAGAGTGTGTACTGTATAATGACATGCCTACTGGTACAGACATAAATACAAAGAAGTCAAGTTACAAACGCTTCAAGCCCAGCTTATTATAACGATTGATTTATTATTAAGACCTATGGGAACACAATTACCAAATTAATATCCACATTGATGATAGCTTTATTTTATGACATCRAAAAAATTGCGTRTAGGTTAATGATTAGGTACAAACMGTATCCTGCATATTATAGATGGAGGGAAAAGTAAGCAGCAGCTATCGTGTTTTTTTAATTTTACTTTAAAGTGCTTAACTATTGAAGTCAATCCAATCACTAATCTAAACTCGATACTACCGGTCGGAAGGACAGAAGGTCGTTTTAAACTTTAAAGCGATGTATAATTTTATACATTAATATTATACATTATTGCTTAAAATACATAACGATAACATAATAATGGTCACGCAGACACTTTGTACGATCTGGTGAATATGTTTATTTTGGAACACGGAAACTGTGTAGCTGTGTAGGTACCTACTCTTATATCTAYTTTAATACATGAAGTATTTAAGTATATTATATTAAGTATTATATAAATAAGCAATGTTATAAACTTTGATGAGATTTTATATTCAAAAGTAAATTAAAGATATTATATTAGTATCACCTATATAAACATTCTAAAATAATCAGTTTTTCTTTTATTTACTGGTTAAATAACAACCAAACATAAATAATTAGTGCTATCATTTTATTATATTTTTTTT